TTAGTAATAATTTTATGCAAATATACTTAATTGCAAAATTAAAGCCAATTGATACATATGTACTTCCTTCTCATTTTCCAATCTTTCTTTCATGCATATTTTATTTCACAAATACATTACAATCGTTTGATATTTGAATTTATAATTTAATTTGTATGCTTTTAAAAAATTCAATTTTTATAATTTTAAGACAATTTTTTCCATACATTTTTATCACAATTTCTGAATTAAATTTTTATAAAAAGAAAATGATGAAATATATGAAATTTTGTCCTTTGTTGTGATAGACAATATTGGTATATGAGGAGGGACCAATGCACTTCACTGATTGATGGAATTTCTGGCCATTTCAATCTTTTTTGTTTCTTAGTTCAAAACTTTGGAAATATCAAGGAAAAAAGTTGGAAAACATTTCACAGCATCTAAAAAAAAACTAGCCTCTGAATATGTTGAATCAAGAAACAGCTGCCGATTTCTATCAAATAAAAAGATTGATAGTGAAATATGATTTTTTGTCTTCTTTTCTTAAAATGTATACTAAAAAAAAAACAACTTTAGCTGATCATTTTTAAAGTAAGTAAGTAATGCTAATTTTTATAGAAGCAATTGCGTGCTTTCAAAAAATTCATACAATTTCAAATATTATAAAGATTATGTGTCAAAAATTATATGAGATAGCTTATAGTATACGTCTAGTATACACCCTTCAATTTTTTTTAAAACTAAATGTTGAAAATTGTTAAGTTTGATAGTTGATAAGAAGATGGAAAAAGGAAAAGAAAGGATTGAAAAATGATCTGAGCTAAATGAACATAAATGTATTGTTTTATAAAGGTTATGTGTTTATATCAACAAGTGATACGAACATTTAAGAAAAAATAAATAAAACTTGCCTTATCGTTTGAGCGAGAGTCATCAGACCATACATATAAGGTGCAACCCAATAACTGAAATCAAAATTCTTTAATATTTGAATAGCTTTTTTTATTTAATTAAGAATATTTTAATGAATTTATGCGACGGATGGAGCATAATATAATGTTTTAGAAAACTTCAAATTTTTACAATAAAAGAAGAAGCATAAATAATTATCAAAATTTTATGGCAATAAAATAAAAGAAGTCAGCGAGCGATGAATAAGTAATAATTTTTATAAAATAATAAAAGGAAATTTTTTTTCGTTTTTTTGAATATTAAAGCTCTATTCAAGAAGAAGCTTTCAGTTGTCTACTTTTTTGAATGCATATGTCATTCTTATTTTCATAATAAATTTTAATTTTTCACCATTTAAGTATTTTCAGTACTTATTATGCTTCTTTTTTATCCTCTTTGACATCTTCTAAGCAATTTCTTCTTAATATTATTTAGTGGTACTGAAAAACTGATTTGTTGACTTCATTAAAATTGTTACACTTAAAGAAAAGCGAATGACAAGTTATGTCATCGGAAGCATTTAAATAAAAGTCAGTGTAATATATGCATCTATTTCCGTTAATCCTCAGCTATCATTAATTATTAATAAATTTTGATTGATTGATCTATAAAGCAAATTTGTTTCTCTTTTAATTTTTTGTTTCTCTTTTAACTATTTAACTTTCTATGCTTAATTGATATTTGAAAAATTTTTAATCAAGACAATTGTTATTTGGATGATATTAATAATAAATTCAATAATTTGTAAAAATTTCCTTTCATTATGCATCTTTCGTTTTCTCTCCCTCTTTCTTTTTTCCTCTTTCATTTTCTTTTTTTTTCACTAAATAACAAATTAAGGTAACAAAAATTATACTCATAGCAAAATGTGCTAATTGATGTCAATTTTCATCACTCGTTCTTCCGTTATCTGTCATCATTACCCTATTTACATTATGCATGATTATTCTATGTTTATTGTATCATTTCATGCTTCAATAATAATCCATTACAGCAACCGTCAATGGATAATTTATTATGATAATGTTGTACATTCATATATCCGTACTGCTATAATAAGCAGGATATCAGGATAATAATTTTCAGGATAATAATAATAACAGGATAATAATTTTCCAATTATGCTTTTGAAATTTATTTCAAATTTGTATATTTTACTAATTTCAAAATACAAATTCTTATTTAAATCGAGCGAGAAAAAAAAAAACGATTAATATAAAAGGCGTAATAAAATGTTCATTTATCTAAGTTTTTTATTTAGTTGTACAAAAACTTCTTGCTACTTTTGAATAAAATATCGTATTCTTTTGAGATTGAACAACGATTAAGATAATTCAAAATTTGTTAATGATTTTCCTCATTTTCTCTTTCTTTATATACATACGTAATTCATTTATTTATATTTATATATTTCTAAAAAAAAAACAACAAATGATTGTTCGAATGATAAAAAGTTCCTATAATAAATGAAAAGATCTAAAATTTAACGAAAAATTGTAAAAGTTATCATTTGAATTCTACGTTCTTTTTTTCCCCAATGAATTCCTATTTTTCGTCATTTTTGGACATTCTGATGATGAAAATTCGATTGGTGAAATGAACGAAAATGAAAAGAATGAAAAAAGAAAGAACATTATGGGGGGAGGAAAAAAAAACGATTAAAATTGTTTTATATTCTCTTTGCATTTGAAAAAAAAAAAAGAATGAAAGAAAAAAGGGAAGAAAAAGTTCACTTTTAAGTTATGACTTGTTGATTTGAACCATCAATTTTTAATAGCAGCATTAAGGTGCAAAGTAAGCAGTGCAAGGTAGGCGTATTATGATCCGGTTTTTGAAATCATAATTTTATGAGCTAATAAGCATTATTTGTTCAGTAGCATGCTTATTAATTTTGAAGAATTTAAATTTAACGTTTGGTAAATATTTTAGTTTATTTGAGATAAATTTTGACTTCTTGAGATTTTAGCGAATGCGGACTTGTTGTTTAAGCTATTATCTAATGGCTGATGAGAAGTGAAAAAACGACAGCTGGCTCAATGAATTTGATGATGATAGGGTAAGAATCCTGCTCATCGAAAAATACTCATCAGTTAAGCGAACTTTTTTACAAGTGAACATTCCGGTTAAAATCCAGAAGTTCCCATTATATTTTAAATCATCGTTAATCAATCACCTGCTACTTCCATTTTTCATTCTTATATATATCACAAAAACAGAAAGTGGGAGAGAGAAAAAGAAACACAGAGAGAAATACTTTTAAAAAGTCATTTACAGGACCAATTTCAGGAATAGTTAGAGATGATGTAACTTTGATCCTTCAAAAAATTTGAAAAAGAGCTATAAATAAAACCGCTCAACAATTGTAACAGAAACAAACTATCATTTATTTTTTTGATGTCAATGAAAATTTTTAGCATCAAAAGTATCAAAATGGATAACAGTGTAATGTCATTATTGATAGTTTAATGCATTTGCTAGAAATCAATTATCAAATATTAATATTGTTATGTTGCAGCACGACAACATCTCGAAGAATCTTTGTCACATTGAATATTTTCTCCTGTGACTTCATCCATCTTTTCAATTTTAATACCCTGTCTGCTAGAATTTTTATATAAACTATATAACTCCTCTAGTGGATGCATTATGAAGTCTCAAAAAGAATTTATAGCATGATTACCACTTTAAAATGAATTTACAGACTTTAATAAGTGTTTCAATCAAATATCAAAATGAGGATAACAAAAACATGTACATATGACAAAACAAACCGCCGGAAATTACATTGTGTGCTAACGAATGTCAAATCATTTAGTATAGACGAAACTATTAAACTCTCCATCATCTCCCCTCTATCCTTCCTCTTTCACTCACACCAATTTTGTTCACGAATTATCCAGAATTTTCAACCTTATTTCTCTCTACGTCATAGATAAACACAAAAACTTCTCTTCTTTTTAGACTGACTATGAAATGAAGAATCAAATTTTTGTATTCCTTCCTATTCTTGCCACTATTTCTAAACTTACATTATCTACATTATGTATGAATATTTTACATTTCTCATAGCCTGTAACATATCTATAATGAGTCCATGTTTGTGTCTTTGAAATCAAATATGCGACACGCAAAGCTTTTAATGCAGCACTCCGATCTCACTGTTATCAATGTCAGGCTTATTTCTCAAAGTCAATCTTTTCTTTTTTGTTTTCAAAGTTGCTCGAAACTTTGAAGACCCATTTAAAGAGTTATCATTTCTATGATTAAAAAGCAATGAGAAAATATAATACTATAACGCTCCCTCTTCCTTCTCTCCCTAAATCTCAAATAGCATTTTCTTCCACCTATATAAGATCTACTCCTAGCAATTACAGTTTTTCTTTTACAGAGATATTAAGTGAACTCATAGTCAGGCATTAAAAATCCCAATTCTCGTGCGATTAAAACAAAACAGCTTAACAACTCACAGATTGCACACAGGAATTGACCATTTTGCTATAAAACAAATGATTCTTTTTCAAAAAAAAAAAAAAAAAACTTTGAACAACTTCTAGAATTTCTACTAATTCAAGGATTCGTTGTATTACTGAATTAGAGTAATAAGAGAAGGTTAAAAGTATATGACAAAAAAATGTAGAACACAACAATTTAAGCAGGAATCATAACGCTATTAACAAGAAAGATTCTGGACGACTGTTAATGAAGCAGCTCATATGCTTCCATTTTATCATTTAAACATCAATTATATCTACAGTACAGAAGGCAAACATAAAAGATCAAAATAGATGTTGCTTTATTAAACGTGTGTTATTTTCAATAAACGATGCAAGGTCAATTTGATCGATGAAAATTTCAAATAAGAACCTGAATATGGTAGCCGACCACGTTTTCGTATATTCACCCAGTCTGGGTAACGATAGAACAAAGAATGCAGAAAATAGAATAAGTGTATCAGAACTAGATAGAATTGCGAGGTACCAATTAATGGATGAGGAAAACATAAAACGGTGGGTGAATATACGGATGGAGGTAATGTTTGCGCAAAGGCCAAACACGATAATTGGTAGGGTGATGAGGCCAAGCAGCAGCCTTTCCTCATATGCATAAAACTGATACGACAAGTGGCATTTACAATCAACAGATAATATGGTGCACCATTCTGGTGATTCGTCATCATACTGATGTTCATTACCCAATGTACTGTTACTGTTATCTCTGATACTGCTAAGTATCAACTGATGGGGTGACGGGACAGTCGAGATGAATAATCGTGAAGAGTCACCGATGTTAACACTAGTAATAGCAGCCGAAATATTAGAAGTAGCAGCATTTGTGGTATCAGAAATCTTACCGGTTGTAACCACATCCATAACTGAGGGGCTAAACAGACCTCGTCTAGGATCACCGAAACCGTGAAACAGAAACACGATTAAAGGCTTGGAAGTAATAGTAGCCTAGGCTGAGAAAGTATCCGTCTTTGCAGTCCCGCCCCTTCTGAAAAAACATGAGTAGAGTAAAAGAGTTGATTACCCTCTCCAACCCTCAGCAATAGCAGCAACAGCAGCTAAGCTTCCGCCAGTAACAACATACATATCGTCACTGATGGATGGAATGGATTGATGAATGGACAATACACAAATATAACATTAACAGCCTGAACAGTGCACCAGTTTCATCCTCATTGGCGTAATGCATTAGGAAATCGCTGCTCGTAGCGTTCGTCACGGAGAAACTTCGCCCACACCAATTGACCTGAAACGCAACTTAACAGTTCGCTAAAAAATACGTAAAATTTCATTGGTCCTTTGGGTCATTTCAATTTAAAATACGAGATATATTAACCTCAAAAATCAAGATATGGTTCTCCTCAAAGATCTCGTCATTGTAATTAAATAACAATCTGAATCTCTAGAAACCTCCTAAAGTCATGTATAAATTAAACCCCCGGCCCCACTGCTGCTGATGCCCTTCGTTAATTTCAGCTTTACAATCATACTCCCCGGAACCCAAAACTTTCATTCCCAACAAGTTGCTCTCAAGGCTATTTAATGCTAACGAAAAACACTAGCTGGTGTCGTTTGTGGTCAGAACCAGAGAAGAATTCTTTGTAAAATCTCACTCATTCCAATTTTCATTTACTGATCTCCAGAAATGTAACATAAAATGAGTAGAGAAGAGCGACATCCACCTCGTAATGTAGAAATCTGCTCTTAGTTTTTGATTGTTCAAGTAACTTCAAGTAATACAAGTTTTGATTCTTCAAGTAACACAAGTTTCAAATGTTACAACACTTTCCAATGTCATCACAAGAAAATATGAATAGCTGTCTAGTTTAATTAATTCTGAGAATGAATCTCATCTCTATAGCCAATTTTTGAGACCCCAATATTTTCCTTTCTTTTTATCATTTCAGTTCTCTTCCAAGGCCTAGAAATGACATAAACATATTTCTTTATCTTTTATCCTGATAAATCTTATTCGTTCGTGTCCTTCACAATTATTTTTACATCGTTCAAAAAAAAATTTCATTCAAAATTGTAAAATTAAATGACATCATAAACTGCCCAAACACTTCAATTTAAATAAAACAATAGAAGTGCACATATATTTGGAACTGTATTTTGAAAAAAAAAAATTAAAATCTTCAACACTTTTTTATGGACCACATTTTCATTAACAAATTAAGATGTGCTGTTCACAACCTCTTCCTAAGTTAAAAACCAATAAAACATCATATTTTTATTGGCGTTTTTTGCATATTTTTCGCGCTCCCCTTTGATAATCACTTCAATGTAGTGAAAATTCAATTCATGCTACAGCTTTTCAAAATTATTCAGGCATATCAGATAGTTTTTAATGATCTTTTATATATATTTAAATAATTATCTTAAAAATTTTCGATTGTGTCATTCGTACTCTTCCTAAAGAGGTCATCCTTACTAGAAAGCATAGAGTCAATGAGGATTTTTAACAAATCTGAACTCCACACTACCCATTATCATACAATAGCAGAAAGAAGAAAATTATTCCATCAATTTGAAGAATTTTCGTTTGCAACTCGTAAGATGAAGTATTCGAAATGGCTTGGGAGAGGGAACGTTTTGTTTCATAAACCAGCAAAAATTCCCAGCAATTGGAGGAAAAAATTTGTGCAGAAAAACTAATGTTCTATACTGTCACTTTCAAATTCAGTTAGAGAATTGAAAAAAAGATGACTCTTACCGTTGAACCAGGTTCCGTGTAATGATTTAAAAGCAGAACTGCAATCGGTTAATGACGCGAAACGAGCAAACATTACTCCCTCCTTAGAATCACTTTCCATATAAACGTGTAACGGCTGAACTGGAGCTATTTTCTGTAGCAAAGCTTGCTTCAAATCTATATATTTTGCTTCATAATTCCTGAAATATTTTTATAGCAATTTCTTTCAAAAAGGTCTTTTCAAAAACACTTTAAGAATGACATATGAGAAATTTCATGAACTGAATGGACATAAAGCGTAAAAAAATATTTTTTTCCATAACTCATACCAAACCGAAGTATACCACTCACTCCGACCTCTTCCTGCGAGCTACGCCCTTGAAAAATTCCTCTAAAATCAAAATGTACCGTGGAAAATGAAGTGTAAACGATTAGTACACTTTTGACATCATAAAATCTTAACCAGTCAAAACAACATACTTCGCTGAAGAAAACATTCCGCGCAGCTTCAGACAGTGTGATGGCGCCTGGTCTAGCATACTACGTCGCATACTTCCATCAAACGCTGTAACGAATTTAATTATTATACGGATTATTTTGAATATTTTTGATGAACACACTAAAACGCTATAGAATTATAATACTTTTCCTAAAAATTATGCGAGGCAATGTTTTTTTCTGTACACATCCAAATGCGTTATCTAATAGAGTCAGAAAATAAAAATACAGTATCAGACTACTGCAAATTAAATTCAGCGACTTGTACTGCATTTTTCCATTCTGTACCATAGAATACTACAAAAGAATGAAACAAATTGCTCCAAGTCAATGAAAACTCAAACTACAATGCACGTACCACTACCCTGCCAACCATTCTTTTTTGCAGGTATCCATCGCCATACAGAGCATTCCACACCATTGATAATTCTAGTTTCCGTGCTCACACGTGATTCATTCAAATTGATAAATGCAACCGCTTCTTGCCATCGGCGCAACTCCGGACTATTACGCATTCTAACAAAACAAGTGATTTTAAAGTGATCACAATGAAAACAATGCATATAAAAATTTCACTTCAGGCTTGATAAAAAAGAGCTTTACATATAAACAAAACCTCTTAGATGGTGGAAGAAGCATATCTCGCACATGAGGCTCGGCAACATAAATTTGACCCTGTTCGTTTGCATCGCGAATAATATCTGCAAAATGCATATACAGAATTACTACATCTCTTATGCAAATAAAACGGATACCCAGCACATTAGCTCCCACACAAACTTACCAGTAATTTTCTCAATGAGATCAAAGATAAGTCGTTTATCTTCGGCTTTCTTTCTTGTCTGATAACGTTGCAACATATAAATACCAACCATCACTCCACATACTACAATTACACTGCGAATTACAATATCATTATTTTGAATTAAATTATGAATAAAACATTCAAAAAAATCAGACAAATACATTTTTGGCACTATTCGGCAATCGTTCAGGCATAATTAGTGAACAAACTAAAGATAGCAAGTAGTTAGTGCCTTTTCTGAAAAGAAAAAGGTTACGTACAGATTTATCCCATACCTTGAAGTACTTATCAGTAGATGAACTATACTCAACAACTGCTTGTAATGCTTACTGTCCTTGTAATGCTGATTCAGATAATTTCATACTAATTAAGAATGCCAATCCGTCTATTACAAAACTAAAGTGCTGGGTTTTGGAATTGTCATGATTATGGCATTCAAATGAGAATTACGCAGAAAAGACAAAAAAAGCAAAACATACCTACAACCACTGTAAGTAACGGGAGAATCGCATACGTATATAAGAAAAACACCGTATCCTTTGCAGCAACTATAACAGCTGATACAATTGTTATTTCTTAATAACAAATTTAATTTCTGGGCGTTATTAAGAAATAACGATCAGAAATTAAATTTTATCTTACTGGTACAAACAAGGTAAATCACAGCGGAAATTACTAAAAAATTCGTTTTGCAAATGTATCATTCACTCACTTTGTCTAATTTGTATCAATACCTAAAGATTTAAAAATCAACTATGATACTTGACAAAAGCTGTCGTTGTGAAATGATAAAAATATGAAAAAAAAAAACTCACTATAAGCAATACGACCGCCGTGAATCAAAGCACCCGAATTTGCAGTTGCCAGATAAGCAATAAGCAAAAAACCAATCAGAGACATAAGAAAGAATAATAGTATTCGTGATATGTCAAAGCCCATTATAGTGTTACGTGTTGGTGCAGCTTGCCGAAAGGAATATGGATATCTCTCATGCAATGATTGGGAAGGTGACTGAAAATTCATAAGTTTAGATTTTTTAATTTAGATAGATTGAAAATTCATAAGTTTAGGGACGTTGGCGTTCGAAACACCTTGTTCAGATTAGAAAAGATTTCGGTTTAATGTACCTATCATATTTCGCTGCTGTAAGTAACGAAAGACAGCCATAGTGACTAAACAGAGACCAGAAAGTTTTCCTAATTATGTTGCATAACTGGGAAAACAGCACTACCAATTTAAAGACCGAAGGTTCGGTACTCGTAAAACAAGAACTTTAAATTATAAATAAAAAAATGATTTAATAAAGAATTGAGGTAGGAAGTCCTCTCAGCCATTATAATGATTTATTTATTTATGCAGATGACTCAAAATAAAATTAAAATATGAACAAACCTTTCGGGAATACTTGCGTGGACAGATGAACGATGTCCACCTCTTGAGATACTTGTTCAGTGTTGAGAGTGTTGAGGATGGTTTCTGTGTGCCAGGCATTACAGTTGGGTTCGCAGTAACTATGCGTGAACTTTCCATATGATCATCATCACTGTCACTGTCTCCAGACATTTTTAAAATATTCAACTGTTCTTGATTATCTCTGAAATCCAACCGACGCCGTGCCCTTCGGTCTAAAAAAATAGCACTTAGTGAATTTCACACATGAAGAAATGAAAAATTGCCATTGTCACTCCCTCGTTTAATGCAATGAATTTCAAAACATTAAGGGAACTATA